AGAGATGAAGAACAAAGAACCAAGTGCCAATCAGGAGCCGAACCAAGGAGGTAACGTTTGGCGTAGGGACGCCCAACCTCAACAGCAAGTCCAGGAGAACCCGGAAGAATTTCCCCAAGTAGGAGTCATCTTTGGCGGTCCAGAAACAGGAGTCACAAGCAAGGAGAGGAAGGAATGGGCTCGCAAGCTGTATGTGGGGTCCATTGACATAGGCCAAGCGGCCAAGAAAGGAAGGAGGGAGCCCATTGTCTTCTCGGACGAAGATTTACCACTCATTCTTAGTCCTCATCGGACCCCCTGGTAATTTCTATGGCTATTCACAAATTTTTTGTTAAAAGAATTTTGGTGGACACTGGAAGCAGTGTCAATGTGTTGTGCTGGGAAGCCGCCCAGCAATTGGGAATCAAGAAGGAAGATCTCACAAAGCTTAACATGCCCTTGTCGGGCTTCACTGGAGATATAATTGAACCGGAAGGGTCCATTAAATTGGACATCATCATAGGCGAGCATCCTAAGGTGAGACATATGAGGATGGATTTTGTAGTGGTCGACATCAAATGCGCTCACAATGCCATCTTAGGGAAGCCTGGGCTAGAGGACTTGGGAGGTGCACTATCCCTTGAACACCTGTGCCTCAAGTTTAGGACTCCCGAAGGTGTTGGGAGGGTGCTTGGTGATCAGCCCGCGGCCAAGAAGGCCTATCTAAGCGCCTGTAAGAAGATAGACAAGGAGAACCTCAACATCCAAACCATCGGGCATGTTTTGGAAGATAAAGAAAAGAAGGAGGAAGACCGGGAGAGGCCCAAGCCAGCGGTGGAAATGGAGGAAGTGGTGCTATTCCCGGAAGGGGATCAAGAAAAGGTTGTGAGGATCGGTTTAGGGCTAGGGGAGGATACCCGTGAAGAGATAATCCGAGTATTAGGAGAAAACTCGGTCCTCTTTGCATGGGAATCCAAGGATATGCCCGGAGTCGATCCCTCAGTCATTTGCCATAGGTTGAACATCGAGATGGACTCCTTCCCGGTCAAGCAGAAGAAAAGATATCTGTCCACGGACAGAAAAGAATTTGTGAGGAAGGAGGTGAAAACCCTTTTGGAGGCCGGCCACATTAGGGAGGTCCAATATCCCAAATGGCTCGCCAATGTGGTGCTGGCACCAAAAGGGGACACCTTTCGCATGTGTGTGGACTTCACTGACCTCAATAAGGCATGTCCTATGGACCCCTTTCCCCTACCAAGAGTAGATCAACTGGTAGATGAAACGGCGGGCCATGAACTATTGAGTTTTATGGACGCCTTCCGAGGATACCATCAAATTTTCATGGACAAAGATGATGCGGAATCCACAGCCTTTATCACCCCTGAAGGAGTATATTGTTACGTGGTCATGCCTTTTGGGCTGCGTAATGCGGGGGCCACATTTAC